TCAGTTTATTTTACAACTATTGGCAAAGGTTCCTTCTCTGTTTCCACTCCCCAGAGAGCTCAGCAGGCCCAGCCTGTCCCACTCCACTCCCACTCTGCCCCGGGACCGCTTTCCCTTCCGCAGCTGAAAGAAGATGCTTTATCGAACAGGGACCGGCTCACAGCGGAGGGATCGCGGTCTGCCCCTGCCCTCTCCTGGGCAAAGCGAGCCTCGCACGGTCCCTGCTGCTCCGGGGAACGGGGAAAACCCCTGCTGCTCCGGGGAATGGGGAAAATCCCGGCAGAACTGGCCAGACCCGGCTGGCGCTGCCCGCTCCCCGCAGAACCACAGAGAACCGAGCGGGCGGAGGGCAGCGCGCAGACCGCCCGGCTCCTGGAAATACGGGGCTTGCTCAAGGAAATATGCACGTTTTCAGCCTCGCAGCCAAATTTGGAGTATGTATCAGAGAACCTGACTTTATCACAAGATTTCTTAAACCTCAAGCCGAGTTTATATGTGCTGGTTTTATTTAGCAGAAGTTCGGAGAACTCGTGGGGTTTTATTCCTGTTTCCCTGTGGATGTGAGCTTCAAGGCTAAGGGGAAAAATCACTCAAGGAAAGTAAAACCAAACGGTGGAAAGACCAGAGATTGTCATGTGTCTAAGTAGGAAGGAGTAGTGAAGCATTAAACACTCACTGAGAAATGTACAGAGATTTTAAAGTTACCAGCACACCAGATTTACCTCTCCTGGAGAGACCCCATGAAGTGATAGAATGTAGTAAGGCTTCAAACTCTTCATCTAATAAACTAGGTATGTTGGAAACATCACACTATATCTGAATAGAGGCAGACAGATGGTTAACAGACAGGTTTTAAATGGTCCTAGAAATATTTGTACATTTTTTCAGAGTAAGATATCCCACAAGAGCTGGTCCTGGCAGCTCCACCATGCCATCAGTGCAATAGATAAAGTAATGCCAGCAGCCACAAGCTACTCGGGCAGCAACAGCAAGGCTGAGGGAGTGCTGAGGACTTGTGACAACTCCATGGTTCCTTCAAACTTCATTTATCAAAACAGCTTTCATAAATTGTATCATGTTAATCACTTCCAGTTGTGAGCTGTTGTTGGTATGTGTTTCCATGTTTTGAGTAGTGGGGGAAAATTATTTGTTTTCAGTGGGAAACTATAGAACAAACCAAACATTGTTGTTTCTTTTCCAAACTGCACTTTTCCTTCCATTATAATTTTGTAGTTAAATGCACTGACTTGCTGAAAAGAGTTAGATCTTCCTATCTCTTCCTGTCTTAAAAAGTGACTGAGAAAATTCCAAGGAAAATGAAACCCAAGCCAAAGTCTATTGCCATCTTCAAGTTATTTTATATAGGGCACAAATCCTCCTGAATCAGATTAACACAAAATCATTCCCCATCTTTGGCTTGTTAATTGTGTTCAACCTGTCCTTCTACTGAAAGAAGCCAATTTGATTTTTAAACCAACAAACAAAACAGAAAAGCATAGGTGTGCTAGAGCTTCTAACACAGCAAACACTCTATCTATGCAAACTGCAGATATTTCTTCTGAAGTCGTAAGCTTTGGCTTATGGTCCAACTGCTTCTGCACAATGTCCTAAAGTAGATGGTGCTAATGCTATTTTAATTCACATTTTGGCACTGATCCTGCCATACTCGCAGCACATGGATGACAACACAGTGAAGCCCTGTGTGACTGCACACTGCATGTGGCACTTCCCAAAAAAGGCAGAAGAGCTTTAATCCCAACACTGACCAAGTAGTTCTATGCATAAAATCAGTGGAGGAGAGGCAGATATGACTGGATGATGTCTCTGCAGCCCTGTACCTCCAGCCTCTTTCATGCTGTGCTGCCTTATAAAGGACCTCCCTGGCACTGTGTAACCTCAGCTCTCAGCATTCCCAAACTTTCACCTCCGTGTCAAAAGAACACAGGGCTGCCCCTGCCACATATCCTTTGATGTGCAGTTGCACCATGACAAGGAAATTTTACATCATAGAGCTGCTCAAGCTTAGATCCAGCCCTGAAACAAGCCCTGCATCTCCTTGATCCTCTCAATGCCTTTTACCACATTGCATGGGCTAGACTAAAGGATTCCTTAAGATCCCACACAGTCTTGTTTTCTTTGGTCCTTCTAATTTCTTGTTATATCAGGAACTTCCCACTCAAATACAGAATTCCAGCCCTTTTGGCAGCTTTTTCCACATTCCATTAGAGCTTCACAACCCTAAATAAAGTGTAGTTGGTTTGGTGCAGTCAGTTCCATAATTTAATTTACTCTTCCTTGCAGCAGTGCAGTTCCCCTTCTAGAGCCCTGTGTGACAGACAGAGATTCTCCTCCACCCCAGAACTGCCTCACCTGATCACAGCACTAGACAAGGCAGAAGGCTCCAGCTCTGGAAATCCATTGTACAGGGGAGAGTGGAGACAATGTCAGTCCTCCAAAACACAGAATGGGAGGGCGAGAGGATGAATGTTTGTCCTTTGCCTGTTTCCTCTCTGATGTATTGAGAGCTGTGTGATCAGTTCAAGGTTTTTTTAAGATTAAAGAAACACAAAAATCCTTTTTGAATACCTTGAAAACATCTCCTCATTATAACCTACTGTGAGGTAGTTCCAAAAGAGAACATTTCACCTCATGGGTCAGGAGTAATCAGACAAAAGGTGCCAACGCTCAGTTGTACAAACCTGTGGCACCTGGGGAAACTGTCTGCCCACAGACATCTTCCATTGCAAACCAGTAACTTCAAACATGTCCAGGGAAAAAAAAAAAAAAAAAACACAAAAACTTGAGTGATGGGGCAGTCAGTCACCTACAGCAGACAAAAATCCTGTCACTAGGAGCAAACTTCCCTGCTGCAGCCCTGGGAGCTGCCTAGCAAAAATCCCTGGCTTTTAGGGCAGTAATTACATCAATCCCTTCGATACATTTGTGTCAAAGCCATTGATCAAGAAACAGTATTAATTAGACCTAATCCACACTTCGGAGGCACCAGAAGGTATCAGCATGGCTCCAGGGGCTTAGGGCAGCAGACTGGATGGTTCAGCAAGGCTTCCTTAGTTTCATCCTCATGAGTTTGAAGGCATAAAGGCAGTGAGGAAAGGAAAAGGGAAGAAAACAAAAGAAAAATAGCAGATTTGCAAATTTAACCTTTCCAAGGTGAGTTGTGTGTGAAGTTAAATACTACTGGGGTTGTGCCTAAGAAAACAGAGTTTGATAGTTTGTGCCTTTGAGAAAGAACATAGAAATATCACAGAGGTACCAAATAATCCAACTACAAGCACATCTATTTATTTCTCTCAGAACAGACAAACAACAGGCAATTAATGGGCAAAGGGCTAAATGAACCCCCTGAGTTATTTACTGCAAGAAAGCTAAGTCTGACCCCCCAGCACTGCTCCAGCCTTGTGCCAGCACTACTGGTCACCCTGTCCCTCCAGTAAAAAAACAGGGTCTGCAAGATAGAGTGGGAGGCAAGCACAGACAGGAGGAAGGGGCTGGCACTTGGAAAGTGCTCCAGGTCTTAGGCTCTGAAGAGTTAAAGCAACCAGAGGAATCATAAACAAAAACAAAACAAAACAAAACACCAAAAACAAAACAAAAAAAACTAAGCAGCAGCCCCTACAACAAAAATGCATTTTACAAAATTAATGAGATTTGGATAACTCTCCCTTTAAAAATGGAATATTTCCATTTTAAAATGTACAAAGACTAAAATTTTCATAAATATACTACTAAGAAACTTCTGATGCTGTTTTAGATTTTCCATTGAAATACAGTGCATGGAGGTTGCCATAGCTACAAGCAAATTTTTAAATAACTGTTTTTCGTCAGAGCAGCTGCAGTATCCTACAGAAATGAAGTGGGGAAGCTGGAAGGAGTCTGACCAAATTCAAGCTCCTAATCAAATGACTCCAAGATTTTCATAAACACAGCTTAGAAACTTTTAATACGGGGTCTGGTTTTTAGAGAAAACACTACACTGTTATTTGACAGGACCCCAGGAAATGCTGTCAGCAGTACCAGAGATGTCAGTCAAGAGTTTTGTTTTCATGCTGGAAAACATAAAAATTTGCAGTGCTAAGCCCCAGCCTGGTACAAGTCCCCAGGCACCAGGGATGTGCTGCAGCCTCGGCTTTCCCTGCAGGGCTCTCTGAATGAGCTGCTTGGCTGGCAGCAGTGGGCCTAAAAATGCCCCAAGAGCCACAGGTTTCTGTAGCCAGGAAAAGCTCTTCCTTGCCAGAGCTCGTACAGGAAAACACAGAACGGAGGAAATGTGGAAAACAAGTGAAGCTGTAAAACACTGGCAGGAGGCTTGGGAGGAGAGGCTGTGATTTAGGTGCTCCTCCTTGCTGGGCATCAGGAGGCTGTTTCTTCTTCTGTAGGATCTCTGCCTGGCTTGAATAGGCAAAGCAACATTCTGTGCAATAATATGAGTAGGAAATAAACATTTCTACACTGTGGGCAGCATTTTGGGGGCGGCCTAATCTAAGGACAAGATTAAGAGCCTCCTTTCAACCTGTAATGTTAACTGTGGCAAAAAACTCCAAATAAAATAATTTTGTGCCCTCAGGCAAGTATGTCCCTGTGTCCCAGTATATAAAACAAAAATAAATAAAAAATAAAATTTTTCAGTGGAATATCAAGAGATTTAACTCCACCAAAACAGTAATTGAATTTCTATCTGTGGAAGGTGGAAATGCTTGGCTGGGTTTGGGTGTTTTTCTAAACAACAAATTAATTATTATTATTAATAACACTATTATGAATCTGAAGAAACAATCTCAGTGATTACTGGTTTTATGCACATTGTTTCATTTATCTATGACCTGTTTCTGAGAGGTTCCTCCATAGCACAGTGGAAGTGTTTCCTCCTGCCAGGGTGGTGATGCTTGAAGGCTCACATTGCTCTGCTCTGCCATCACCTGCACAGCAGAGGAGTTTGCAGGCAAGCAACAGATATTAATCCATATAGACAAATCTTCTGGAAAAGGTTAATTTTATTTCAAATGTGATTTTAAATTCCCTTCACATCTTGAAATGAAACAGCTTCCTTTCCCAATGACGGTATGCTTGTTTGCTCCAAAATTATTCTGGGGTAAAAGAGAAAAACAAAGGGGAACAAAGTCAGAAAAAAACTTTAAATAGAAGTTGGAAAGTTAAAAAGCTATCATGGCAGATTCTCCTAACAAATTAGATTTTTTACTAATTCCAAGTATTCAAGGAAGTGTTCAATGCCAGGCTGGATGGGGCTTGGAGCACTCTGGTCTTGTGGAAGGTGGCCTTGCCCATGGCAGGTGGTTGGAAATGGATGATTTTTCAGATCCTTCCAAACCAAACCATTCTATGATTCATGGGTACTGAGGCAGTTTAAGTACTATCTTTAGCACAGAGTAGATTTTTTTTTTTTTAATATGGAAAAGTCCCTCATTTTAGAAATTAGATATTTCATGGCAGGCAGAAACATCTCAGTCACTCAGTGAGATCCTGGCACAAGACTGTTCAGCTGGCTTGGCCCAACATCCCTCTCCACATTGGCAGTAAGTGTTCAGAAAGTGGAAAAAAATAACAGCTGCCAAAAAAAAAAACAATTTAGTAAATATCTTTTATAATGTAAGTTATAAAAATTTCTCTTTGCCAGGGTGAAAAGAAGCTAGCACAGCAGAGTGAGAGAGGGATGCCAATGAACAGAGAATTCTGTACTGGTGTGCAAGTATCCTGTCAAAGGGTCAGACCCTCCTGTATATCTTTAGGCACTAACTTTTCTGTTGTAGAGGTTTTTTTCAAGGAAAGAAATAGAAGATTAAAAAAAGCACAACCTGCTGTATGGTTGGGCTGCCAGAAAAACAGATTGAGTCATTGCAAGCTACTGACCTTAGTCAGCATATTGTGACTGCACAGCTTTCCAGCCCTGCTGCTTCCTCCCAGGGCAGGTGAGAGCCTTGTCAGAGCTGCAAAGCCACACTCACACTCACTGGGAAGTGCCATTTCTCTCAGCTGTGCAGACACCAGGATTGCTGAACCCAACAAAAACTCAGCGTTTTCCTGGAAGGAAAAAGAGATGTTAGCCAAAAAGTTGAGCTGCGGTCTGCAAGAGCTGCCTTGTCCTGGAGATCCAAAGAGCAGGTGCAGAGGCATGTCCAGAGCAGTGTGCAGGGCACAGCCACTGCTTGGAGAGCCTGAGAGCATCTGAGAGCCTCCCCCCAGCCTCCTGAGCCTCCCCAGCACCCACCGGGCCAGGGAGAACTGCAGAGGCTGAAGGAGAGGATGATGGCTGGGAGGCAGCAAAAGGGAGCAGTGCTCAATGCCACAAGGCACCTTCTCCCCTTACCTGCCAAGTGAAACACAGCAGCACCTGCAGACCAGGGGCTGCTGCAGCTCCTCTCTCTGTGCTGCTTTGCTGCTCCCATTTTGCTTTTGAAGCAGTTCATCAGCCCCTCCAGCACAGGAGGTTTGCTTTTTTCATCACAATCAACCATTATCTTGAAGCAAGGAGAAGAGAATCTTGGGGGATGAGCTAAAAAAAACTGAAGTAAAAATTTTTTAAAAGAGGGAGAGAGATAATACACAACATACAGAGGAGAAAAGTAAAAAAAAAAAGAAAAAACCAACTTCAGGAGATATGTCCTGAGAGAGGCAGGGATGGATCAAGGACCAAGAAGTGGGGACAGAATATCAGTCAAGGGAGAGGAAGGCAGCAAACCACACAAGCAGTGTGGTGACACTGAGATACGTTCCTACAAGAAGAAAAAGAAGTATGTAGGTGTTTGTCCTCATTTGTTTGTTGTGAATAGTAAACATAAAACCACAAGTCAAAAGCAAAAAGCATTCAAGAGAATTCAGGGCTTCCCCATCTAAAGTGTTAAGTCTCTCAGTTTGCTCATCTGCAAAATGTAGGTGCCCTACTGGTCTGCCAGAGCTGTGCCAGGGAGATTGAGCCCATTGATTTATTCAGAACAGAATAAAGAGAGTGAGATCTGTGAATAAGCACCAGAAGGTGCCATAGATCAGTTTAGGAGAGACATAGAGAGAGTATATGTTTCTAGGAAAACCTTTACTTGTGCCAAAAAGTAGGTTTTAACCTATATCAGCACTAAAAAATTCAGGTGAAGTCACCTGAATTCTTCTGTACTGAAAAATAAAGTGAAAAATCCAAATTTCACTTTGGAATTAAACATTTGGAGCAACAGAGAAAATCCGCAGAAGAGATGCAGTCATCAGAGTTGCGGTGCTTCAACTTCTGGTGGTTGTGCATGGAGCTGGTAGATTCAGTAAAGATTTAGACCCATTAATATACCCTGAGGTGTTGTACATCTGACAGAACCCCAGGGTAGGAGCCACGGAGTCATTTTACCTTCAGCACTGTGAGCCTGCAGCCCTTCATGGGAGGCTGGGGGTGTGAGATGCAGGCTGGGCATCACTCACCTGCTGGAGTGAGGCAGAATAAACAGGTATATTGTGAGGCAGCAGAATGAGACAGAAGTTACACTGCTTTGAAACTGCACACTAAAAATACTTTTTGTTCTGCTGGAAAGGCACAGAAGTGCCAGTAGGACAGCCTGGGGCCTGAAATCCTATCTGGTTTAAATATATCAAGAATAACCCAAAAGAAGATGCTTTGTCATGAAGGGCAAGCAAGCCTCAAAGGCAGCCTGGGCCTGAGCAGGAGCAGGCTGAATGGCTGGGCACTGCAGGGCTGAGAGGCAGCCTTGCATCTGCTTTCAAAACACCTCTGTACCTATTCACTTTATTCTGTTCTCTCACTGAGCAGCAACTGTAGAGCACAGAAATATCCAGGCAGCTGTTAGAGGAAAAAGGCTTGAGAATAATGAACTCTGGGACCAGCTTTTTCCTTCACCATTTTCCACATGAATGCGATGATCAGAACATATCCTTGCTCAGGACACAAATACCATCAATTTTTTCATTACACATGGGCAATGAGGCAGTTTTCCTGTGTGAAAGGCCATCATTCATGGAGAGCTGCAGCCCAAAGCTGGACAGAAGTTTCCTGACTCTCCCCTGGGCACAGCCAGCTCCATGCACTTGGGAAGGCTCAGCACCACGCAGACGTGGCCACCAGATTTTTGGTAGTGACATCCCATTTGCAGTTTGCCAAAGGCATGGACCTGTGAGTTTTTAGGGGGTGAAGAACCTCTCCCTGGGGGTACACACACCCCTCTGGCCCACCAAGTGAGTAGGATCACAAGCAGCAGCCATCACCAGAGTAACACCAGCCCTGCGTGTGCTCCCTGCCTACATGACAGTGACTCCTTCACCCCCCTGATTTTAACTACTCAAGCTTAGTTTGAGACAACATCAACAGTGCTGTTATTAGTTCAGGACTTACTGTAGGCTTTTGAGAAAAAAAGAGCATTACTTACACCACATTCTTGTTTTGTCACATAGATGGGACTCCAAAGACTTCTGTACTCCTTGATTTCACCCATGGCCTTGCTACCACCATGCACACATCACCTCTGTGCTGCATCACTGCCCAGAGGCTGGGCTGCACAGTGGAGGAGGATGAAGCTTTGCAGCATCTAATATCCACCACACTGCCTGCATCAGACATCCTGTAAATTGTTCCATTGATCTCTCTTCTTTTGAAGATTTTGCCAACTCTGACCTCAAATTTCATTTCCTCTTTCTGACAGGGATGATAAAAGAAAATAAAAAGTAAAAATTTCAATATTGTCCTTTGCTCAGTTTCTCCATCCTGTTTAATGGATATTCCCACAGCAGGAGCTGGTGGAACTAGTGAGCTCTTTCAAGAACTGTAATTTCTAAACTGGTGAGCACAATACATCTCAGCTGCAATTGAAACTCTTCAACCCCTAGGATAAAAATTTATATGAAAAATATATCAGTATGAAGGTACATCTGTGTCCACAGGCAACAGTGATTAATATCTGGTCTTTTTTTTTTTTTTTTTTTTTTTGGTGTGTAAATACATAATCAGAATGAAAGGCACACAGCAGTTTTAAGCTACTTAAGCTACTTTAGCTGAACACGCTCTTCCTACACCTGTGGGATTTCAGCATTTCTATGCTTTTAAGAGCTTTGTAATAGAGGGATAAGATCAGTTATGATCCACTTTACTGAGCTGGAAAAAATGTAATTTAGGTGTTATTATTGCAGGAAAGAGGTGGAAAGCTCGTTGCTAATTGTAACTCTTTACATCCTTAAAGATGACAATTACTTTTCCTGATCCCTGAACGAAAAATTTTAACACAAGTCCTCCAAGAAAAAACATCAACCTGTGACTTGAATGAATTCCCTTATAGAGGGATGTTTGTGCTACCAAGCCTTCAATCAGCACTTACATTGCCACCAGTAATTACACTGGAAACTCCCTAAACCAAGCACTTTGGGAGCACATCACTAACCTCAGGAAGCAAATCTGTTTTTATATAAGTGGGCTGGCTGGCTGGTGCAAAAGAATTATCTTTATGGTCACAGCTTCTGTCAAAACTGGGTATTTGGCACAAGACAAAGCAAATGAGGCAGTAAGTGCACAGCAGTGGTACCAGGAGAGCAGGGAACAGTGGATTATCAGCTGGCAAATTTAGTGCTCAGCCCAAGGGAGGTCCAGCTTTCCACGGTCTACAGGAGCTCACCACAGCTGTCCTCAGAGAACTGCACCACTCAGCAGGGCTTGGGGACCACCATCCAACCAGCAACATCTCAGGGACTCAGATGTCAGCTTGATAACAATGAGAGGAAAGAATCAAGCTAATCAAACAGTGAGCAGCAACACAGAGTCTATGAGATCAGAAGAGATTCAATCACTGCACAGCAATTTATCCTGAGAGAGCCAGGCCCGTGCAGTGACCCCTCCCTGCTGAAATGATTCACATCAGTTATGCTTCCTCTCCTGCTTGCTGTTATCACCAGAAGAGGCAGAGGATGATCAAGTGCTTCTTTGATCTCCTGTGTATGTGAAGACAGAAATATCCAAGCTGAAGAACTGAGCCCCATGGGTCTGACAGCAGATTCAATTACAACCCATGGAATTCAGTTCTCAAAGCTGAGAATAAATGACATTCATTTTCAGGCTGTCCTGACACACGGCAGTATCTCATGCTCCTGCTGGCTCTCTCCAGGGCCTGGCCTTCTTCCAGGAGCTGTAAAACAAGAGTGAAAACTTCACTGCAGCCAAATCAGCTGTACCCAGACTGTAGGTCAGAAGCAGAGTAATGGCTCCAGGACATATATTTTGAAAAATGAACTATTTTATATATTCCTTTGACACCAGAAGTGGCCACACACA